GTGAAAAGGGTCTGAACAGCAGCGACCTGCCTTTCGGGGGTGTGCAGGGCAGAGGGGAGTGTGCCATGTGCTCACTAGGGCTTGCAAAGCCGCTCCCTCTATTTTCCAACAAGCAGAGCCGAAGAGGGGCTTGGAGGACCAGCTGGGAAGTCAGCTGGCCACTGCGAGCCTAGAAGCCACTTTCTTCTTGCCGAAAACATCTACCTCTGTGCTTCAACCTTTTCCATCTTACATTGATTTCACATGACAAAGAAACCCATGACGCTGAAACAGACATTGATCCCGGGGCTCAGGCCCCATTTCACCAAGACATTGAATTCGGGTGAGAACAGGGTTTTATAGCAGTCTATTGCTTACTTCAGAGAGCGGCCCGCGCTTGCTGGGGCTCTCATTTCTCTGTGAATATGCATGTTACTGGGTCAGCGTTGGTTTCCTTGCACGCCATGTGTGGGCTCCCTTCACACCAGCTCAGCAGCCTGGGCAGATTTTCCCCAGCCCCACGTGCTGGGTAGCGCCAGCCGTGGCTGGGCCGGCCAGCGGCTCCCCCCCCCCAGCAGCGGGGGCCCCGGTGCTGCTCGGGGTGGCCCTGTGCTCAGTGCACCCCCCTGCTCCCCACAGAAAGCAAAGTGCCACCCCCCAGCGCCCACGTTGCGGGGCCAGGGCTGCAGCTGAGGCCCCTTGGTGCAAGCCCGCACACCAGCACCCCGTCCCCTGCGCGCGTGCAGCTAAGGGTGACGGGGAAGAGCCGGCTGTGAAGGAACCTCTCGTAGAAACACACTTGGCTCTGGTTTCAGGCTCCATGAGTGTTTGGGGTGGGCTAGGGCCTGCTCCTCTGCCGGTCTAGAGCAGCTCCTGAAAGCAGTTAAATGAAGGCAGGGGCCCACAGGCCAGGCAGAGGAGGAGGCCTTTGCCCCTCACACGTTTATCATTTGTTAACTGGGCAGGACTGCAGACATGGGAAAGATGTCACAGTTTCCTGCCCGGAGCCCTTTCTCAAGCCGTGGGGCTGGGAGGGGGAAGCCACGGGCCAGTGAGAGGCGGGCGCAGCCCTGGCCTCCCCTCCGGTCCCGGGGCAGGAGCCACGGCCTGCTCCAACGCGCCGCTCCAACACGACGTTTACAGGCCGAGGGCGCTGCCCCTGCGCCGGGGCGGCCGAGCAGCTCGGAGGGGGGACCAGCTGCTCACCCCACACCACCGGAAAAGCCAGCAAAGACCGGGCTGAACTTTCCCACCGGTGCTTTATTTGCAGTCTGAGCCCTTCTGCGGGCACTTGTGTGAATTTTGGCCAGGGGCCTTCTCTTCAGTAACTTTTCTTTTGTCTGGACAATCTTGGTGCTGTGAGTGACTGTGATTGTAATACTGAGTACTGTGAACTTTTCCTATGTGGCGTGAGATGTGCCTAGGGGATGCCGAGTTCCTGGCCCTGGGAGGAAGCGGCAGGAGGCTGATGGTGCTTGAGAGGGACCTGCTCCTGGGCGCCTCCCTTTTTTGCAGGCATTAAAAAGGCAGTAAAAGATCAGAGAGAAATTTGGTACCGTCCAAGAGAGAGCAAGATGGTACCTGAACCCCAGAGTACCACATGCTTCATTTGGGTTACCTAGCCTGAGCATGCTCCAGTCATGGACTGCATTAATAGCAATGTTCAAATTGGCCCTTTAACTGGAAAATTGCCATGTACATATGACAGCTCAAAATAAGGTGCCTGCTATATAAAATTCCCTTGTGGAACAGTTCACAGAGTGATTTTCCATGGTTTCTGGTACTCGTTTGTAAGTAAATGTTAGCAAATGTGCTACGCTGAGAGCTTAAGGCTCTCTCAGCAGTTGACCGTGCAGGAGCCCCCTTGCAGGGAGCAGGGCACGGGGAGCTCCGAGCTCTCCTTCACGAACCTGCTCCGCCTTTGCACTCCCTTCTCTTTGGTAACGGAGCTCTCGCTCCCTCTCACTCCTTTCTGCCCCACGGTGGATCCGTCTGCCCATGCGGCCACCGCGGTGCCACCTGCGCCCCGCGCCCGAAGCACCTTCCTCACTTACCGCGTCCTGCCCAGCACTGAATTTCCGGCCCAGGTCAGTGCTCTCTTGTTGAACCAAGCTGTGCCATACCGAGACGTTATGTCCCTCGCAGTGCCACTACCAGCCTCGTAACGGAACTCACCTAATTCGCGTTTTATTGCTCTCTCCTGAGAAAGTGCTTGCTAGCCGGCCGGAGGGTGACAACTCCCAGGGGAGAAGCTGCACTGAGAGGGAAGCCTGTGGCCAGAGGACGCTGGGCATCCCTGTGGCATTAATCAGAACTTGTATTTTTTAAAAAGCAAGATTGTTAAAATAAATCTAGAAACTTGTGACTGACCTTGCTCTTTTCTTTTTTCTTCAAGTCTTGTTGAACTATTGAGTATTACATGCAGAGACCAACAGACGCATTCAAGTTACCTGGCCTTCCTCATGCCAGATTCCTTAAAGTGTTCAGATACTCAGAGTTAAACTTGTTCTGATAAAAACAAACCCCGAAAGCTCTAACAGTACGGGAATTTGAGAGGGGAATAACTAATGCAAAAAAAAAAAAATTAGACGGCGCTCCTGAGTTTCCTATCCAAATCATTTATAGAATTACATATGGCTTGAAAACGGCTCGCAGTAAAAAAAAAAATCACATTTAAATGTTAACGGCTGTAAAATAAGGGGAATTTTATGAGCTGGATCATCAAGATGACCATTATCTGCAGGCTCCAGGGTAACCAACGAATGGGAGCAACACGGCGCACGGACACGAAGGCGCCTCCTGCTGTCAAGGACAGCGGCAGACGGGCACTGCCCCTTGTCACTTTTCTGGGCATTTGCTTGCTCCGCCGCCCTGCCCCGCTCACCCGCTCTGCGCACACGGTACAAACGTTTAACCTCTGCAATGTGCAGTCTGAGGACACGTGCGTTTCTCGCCCCCGAGGCCTCTCGGCAGCAGCCGCCACGAGCACAGCACTTTGCAGGAAGGTCTGGGCATTTCTCAACTGCTTCAGCTTCCGTTTTACCTCACTGCAGATTTCTACACAAAATACTTACACAAGTGTTAGGGAGAAACTGGGAAGAGGACACGAAAGTATTTAAGTAAATATATTCTAATATATTCTTGTGTTTTGTTCCTTAAGTTACAAACAAGTTACAAACAAGTTACAAACATATAAATTTATAAAATGACATAAGACACCATTAGCTTAAAAAAATAGAGAGGTTGGTTATCTTCTGAAATATCGGAATTTCTCTGAACTTTTTTTGACAGGTAAACTTGCCTGAGCAGCACGGGGAAGGGCCCGGGTGCATGTGCACCTCCCAGGGGCCTCCCACACCGCGGGGCTGCAAAGCCACCGTGACGGGCAGGGCGGCCGCCGGCTTTACGGGGCTGCCAGCGCTACAGGGCCCAGATGGGAGCTCTTACAGGGAGCTGCTCTTACCAGCGCGTCCAGTCCCATTTTTTTTAAAAAACACTGGAACTGATAGTTTCCATCGCTGCTCCTGGGAGATTAATCCCTCACTTTATTATAAGCAAATATTTCACAACAGCTAGCATCTGCTCGAGCTACATCTCACCACCCCTCCCTCCCCAATGGCCTCTCATTCCCTTAATCAGCTAACACTATTTACATCTCTGCATTTTCCGGGTACTAAGATGGCCCAAGGCAAACAGCATCACAACGAGGCGTTACAGAATTTGCCAAACTCCCGGTTCAG